TCATTAGGGATGGTATCCAGGTTCTTCTCCGTACTGATGGACGTCAGATGGATGGAACTCAAACTGTGTCTTCGTTACACAAACACATGGCTGCCGGTTTTCCCTTTACATTCTACCCTTTTGCATGAGACGTTCCCTAACTGTCACCTCAGGTCATTTCCTGTACTAACACCGACTGTGTGTCCCGGTGTTGGGCGCTAGGGTTTGGCGGGTGGCACGGCGGCAGTGTTTGGGCAGGAATTTTGCACTTGCCAAATAAAACCGGTTCCCGTTGGGCTGCGTGTAACCGTGTGTAATATGAGAGGATGGTGGTTTTGCCGCCCAAGTTAAGGGACACAATCCTTGTTAGCCCTGTGAATAATGAGCCTGAACGGCCAGAAGTAGCCCTAGTGCTCCTCAGTAGCGATTCAAGATAAGTTTTCCATCTGTACCTTGGCAAAGTCAACTTTAATGTCCCCCCCTTCCCCCCCTTCCCCCCAGTCCACTGAACTTCTTGGTGGAAAGGTAGTCTGTGGAGGTCACAGAGAAGTTAGAGTCACCCTCCTTGTTAAATTACCTAACGAGATACCTGCGGCGTTTATAAAATGTCTTCTAGAGCCTGGTAGCCTACCATCTTGCCCCGATCTCCATGATTAATTGGGTAATATGTGAACCAGTAGGGGGAGGGAAAAAAATTGCAATTTCAGCTCAGCGAGACCAATTACCTACTCATGTGAAAGAAATGAAACAAATAGGTTTTTGAAGGTTATCTGGGTATCCATAGGAGAAGCCCTCAGATGTGGCCATGTGCATAGCATCTGGAATCACGTTAATGTGACTGGGGCTGTGCTTAGATAAAGGAAGCCGTCAGACTCCTCTTCTGATGTCCTGTCACGTGAGGACGCTGCGGGGACCTGTTAGAGCCGCTCCTGAAGATATTTAGAGGTAAATGTCAAGGAGAGGTGCTGTGCTTCAGCAGAATTTGCATCCTGGAGGGATTCAGCCCGCCCCCACCTCCAGATGTTGTAGGAAGCATTCATCTCAGGAAAATGCGACTGGTGATTGGTATGTCTTGCTGGTTTCCAGGACAACATCTAGTGACTAAAGCTGAGTGGTAAGTGTGGGTCAGTCAGCACCACTCTGTGTAGAACTGTGGAACCAGAAGCCAGGCTTTTTGGCTACGTTGGATCCATTTTGGCCAAATTTGTTTTGCTGGTCACCATGTCACTTGTGTCCCTTTATATGTACATCTGCCAAGTGACGAGTTTGCTGGTCTCCAAGCACCTTACCTGTACTAGTGACCTCTCTAACTCTCCATGACCCTTCACCTCTTCAGCAGACCCACCATTTCTTCCAAACCCCCAGACCACGAGAGGCGTTTCGAGACCCCCCCCCCCCGATAAGGAATCTGCGGCTGTACAAGGCTGGTGGCTGTTTCAGGCCGACGCGATTTAGCACAGAGCAGCCTAACCTTCATCATGTGTCTTACGGAATGAAAGCCGGGGTGTGGGGGGAAAAAAAATCAATATATCATGGCGACAGGCGGGGACCTGCCGTATTCATGTGAAGATTGCTTTAAAGATGGAAAACAATTTTGTGCAATAGCGGAGCAAGGCACCAGATAAATAGGCCATATTACTTAAAGAAAGCTTCACAATCCACAGTGCCAGAGATGGTTCTGGTACTGTAGTAAGTCAGGGAAGGGATTTTCATTGCCGTTTTATTTTATTCTTTATTTAGAGGAAGAAGAGTGCTTACTTGCTGTCAGCCACTTGAGCTGTAAATGTGCCGTTTGTTATGCATTCTGTCCTTTGGATGGATTTTCACTTTGTGCAAATGAAATTTCCCAAAATGCTCGGCTCTCTGAAAGCTGTGTTAAGGAGTTCACTGGTCAGGCGTGTGTGAGGGGCTAAAGGAAAAGGAGATTCTGGATTGCGGGGCATCGCAATGATGGAGATCACACGCAAGAGCCTTTATGGATATAATGCACTCTCTCTCTCTCTCTCTCTCTCTCTCTCTCTCTTTCTGCCCCTCTTTCAGATTCAGGTTACTTTATTTGTACTGGTAGATACATTTTTCTTATTTGAACCCGGCTGTTTGTCATTTTCTTCTGCTCTGATAGTCAGGGGTGGTCCTGCAGAGAGATGATCTGGGCCGTCGAATCGACGCAGCAGAAACTCTGATTAGAATGGTGGATCTCGGGCTCTGCTCTGCTCTGAGTAGGAGTGTAATAACCCTCCCTGTCAGCTGGGAAGTCTGGGAAAACGATTCCTGAGTTCTCTCCTGAGCTGGGTCGCCCAGCAACTTGTTCTTCCAGGTTCTCATCCCGTTTTGATTAATTGGGATGGTCTGGTTTGGAATGAGGTCATCTTTGGAGGTGGAGAGCCAGACCACAGGCCTGGTGCAGACCACCAGAACCCTGACCCGGCAGCATCTTCTGTGTCATATGGAGTCTTGAGAAATGGGCTCCCTACATGAGTAAAAGAAAAAATGGCAGGACGGCAGGGTGGCAGGCAGGGCGGCGGGCGGGGGCCAACGGGGCAGGGCGGCGGGCGGGGGTCGACAGGGCAGGGCGGCGGGCAGGGCAGCGGGCAGGGCAGTGGGCGGGGGTCGACGGGGCAGGGCGGCGGGCAGGGCAGCGGGCGGGGGCCGACGGGGCTGGGCGGCGGGCAGGGCAGCGGGCAGGGCAGTGGGCGGGGGCCGACGGGGCAGGGCGGCGGGCAGGGCAGCGGGCGGGGGCCGACGGGGCGGCGGGCAGGGCGGCGGCGGGCAGGGCGGCAGGCAGATCAGCTTTTAAGAAGGTGATTGAGAGTATTAGTCTTTAATTATCTGCGTTCTACTGGATTACAAAATGGTAAATTTAAGTGGAGCTTTAAGCTCAGATAAGCGGCATGTTAAGTCTGATAAATGGCGGTACTGTAAAATGAAAGCTGTCATGTGCCCCCCCTGGGAGTGCCCCCCCCCCCCCAGGAGTACAGGGCCACTGTGGTAACTGTAGATTGGAGTTGTCAAGAGAGTCGCATTAAATGTTCCGTTATTAAGTCTGGTCTGAATTTAATGGCTGCCGTACTCATAAATCGGCCAGTCAGGCCCTTAAATTACTGAGCGACGGCATGTCTGCCTGTCCCCCCGTCCCCCCGTCCCCCCATCGCCTCCCTGGACCCTGGAACAATTTGTAATGGTTTGGGCCCAGAGAAAGATAGGGTGGTACGTTATTGATGGCCAGCTTAGGAGGACGCTGCCTGCCCATGTGGCGCTCCCCCAGTGGCGCTCCCCCAGTGGCACCCCCCCCAGTTTCCACGGTGAGGCCTCCGTGTAGGACACCCTGCAGGACACCCTGTAGGACACCCTGCAGGACACTTCGCACAGCTTATAGCGGCAGTCAGGCCCAGTGAAGGGTTTACAGATGCCTCATGGGATGATGAAGCTGGTTACCCTGGCAACCCGAGAGTCACCAGAGGTCCTCAGTCACGGGTGGCGGGTGACCCTGTTTAGACTGGACTGGTGACCCCTGCAGTAGGCGGGAACAGGACCAAGCTGCTCGATATGGATAATGAAGCAAGTCGTGTGAGTGGTGATGATGTCGAATTTTTATAATCGAGAGTGTGTGAAAAGGTTCATGGCTGTAACCTGTGTTACCGTAGCGGCTGGCGGCTTAAGAGTATGGACATCTGCTTATGATTCCAGATAACAAAGCCACACAAAACAGGGAAACCTGGGATTTAAAGGGCAGCTGGGCTCCGTCGGCGACGTTTGGAAGTTATTGCTTTAGAAGCTTTAATGGAGTCTCCACCACATAGGGAGAAACTTGTATTTTTCTGAGTGAAAACAGGCGTCTGGTTATGGGCTCCGGCTTTTTCACACTGTAACAGCCAGCATGGAAATAGGGGAGCGGTTTAAACTTTGTAAACTTCCGTGAGATGATGAGTGGTGCGGCGAAGCATATTGACGTTCTCGCTGGTGGAACACTCGACTCGCCAGGAAGACACCAATCTATCCCATCGATCAAACCTCAGGATGGAAAACCAGCTGATGCCTTTTCAGACACGTCGCCACAGAACTGGTCTGGTATTCTTTCTCTGAGATCAGAGCGGATATCTCCTGTGTTCTTCTGTCGATGGTGTCGAGGTTCTTAGACGATCACCTTGCCAATAAGCACAGACTCTAATATCAGTCAGATATTAGATGAAGTCAGTCCCTCATGAATTCAGCATGTCAGTCGTCCCCTAGTGCCACACACGCATTCACAGATTTTTATAAATTTGAGCTTGTGGGGATCGAAAGAATGTCCTCATAAGATTTGTTCTTATTTGGTCCCTACAATGTAGTGTATGAATGACTACACACACACACACACACACATATATATATATATATATATATTCACACACACACAGACCGGTCAAAGGGGAAATCTCAGCGACCAGAAACCTCGCACTCATCAAATAGCCTAAAAGACTGCTTTCTCCAAACTGCCCTTTCAAAAGATGTATTTAATGTTGTATATTAGTATGTTATTTTAGAGAACATTAGTAAGTGCCGGTGTTGCTTACAGGCTACTCCTGTTCCTACTCCTACTCCTGCTCCGGCTCCTGCTTACTCACTGCTTACTCTGCTCCGGCGCACTGTGCAGATGAGGAGCATCCGGCAGTTCCGTGCTATTTAAGCAGATTAGCAGTACAGCTGTGCAGATACCCCGTCAGACCTGTGAAGATGCAGTGGGATTTGTTTGCTCTGTGAGCAATCAGAAGGGCATCTATATAGTGCCACCCTACATCACTACCAAGTGACGATGACATGCAGAAAAAACTCTTCCATTATCCGCCGTCTTCACAAATAGCTTGGTTGTTAACAGCGGATCTGGTTTTAAATCCGTCACCCCGTGTCTCGGGTACATACTCCTCAGGTCCTGCCTGCTACCTCCTGAGTTCTGTACATGCTGTGACAGTCTCTGTCCTCCTGGGGCACCATTAACCGCGGCGGCCGCGCTCTCTCTCTCTCTCTCTCTCTCCCTCCCACAGACGGCCATTGAGGTGCTGGAGGGGCTCCTGGAAGAGGACGACGAGGTGGTGCAGGTGAGCGGGTGCCCATGGTCAGAGAGCGCTGAAATATCAGCCTCTGGCACACGAGCTGTCATGTCTGGACGCCCCGCCGCTGGTGTGTGTGTACGTGTGCGTCCACTCCGATAAACGCCAGCGTGCTCCTCAGTCCCGAGCCGACAGGATAACTAATGTGTCTCTGCACCTCTTCTCCCCGCACCCTCTATTTCTGCCTCTGCCTCTCCCCGCACCCTCTATTTCTGCCTCTGCCTCTCTTCTCCCCGCAC